TTTGTAGTTACGAAAGAAAAATTTAATAAGATTTTATCATGGAATAGTTATTAACATTAATTAATATAATTTAAATAACTATTCAGCAAATGTAAATTTCTGTTTAATACATACATATGTATATATTAAGTATCTCCGGTAAATATTTTGTTAACACGGATATGTAGATAACGTATGTACAAATGAGGATAGCATATGGACATACAAACTTGTCCTTTTGGGGATATCCCTATAGTGTCCACAAATGTATATCCTATGGACAGCTTGTAAGGCTCATGGATATCCCGACCAGAAATGGACATAAAACGGATGTCCATAGGATATCCTGTGCTGTCTGGGTAAGATATAAAATTCTAGCTGCAAAAAAATAAACCACGTTTCTAATTTTTAATTCTTATTTTGCAGCATTTACTGGAGATTTTCTGAATATTGCAATAAGATACGTATACCTCTTATTTTATTATTTCATATTAAATCATAAAACTATTAATAAATTTGAAGTTATTTCAGTTCTAATATTCAATTCTTATTTTGTTGCAGCATTTATTGGACTTTCTGCATATGTTGTAACAGTGAGACATACTTTGGTTCCCTTTCCTGTTTTTTTCTACGATCTCTTTTTTGACTGACATAATATTTGAAAAGTTGCACTGTGGTCTTCAATTCGAGGTAAGAATGTTTTCTTATATTATTTAACATTAATAATAAAGTTGTTATTTTTACACTAATAAAAACGAACGACGCTTAATATGTATACAACAATTAAGATTTTAAAAAGTAATGTTTATATATAATATTAATATTAAAATATTATAATATTAATATTAATGTTAAATTATATGAGTGCGTAACATATGAATTCTGACGCTGACGAAAGAACACAATCACTCATAGCGACCGGTATCTAGAGACTTTCTAGTTTCAAGTGCTGTGGTTGGCTTTTGTGTTCATCGTAATGTGGTCAATTGAGTGCCACCTAATTCTAATCGAAACGTTTCCAATACACAGCACAGATTCTTTTTCAGCGAAATTAATAAGTTACGTAATTAATTCTTATGTTTAAAAAGAATAGATTTAGCCATTAAAAAATCCATATCTTTTTTCTTATAAAAAGAATCAAGTCAAACAAAAATACGGAATTAGACAGTTCTTGATGTGTTCAGTAACGCTAAATATTAAGATTCCACTTTTGTATAATATACCACATTTATTTGTCTCCTCTATCTAGTTGTCTCCGCTATCTGTGACCTACATGAGATTCAAAATTTCTCAGTTGTTACTTGGATTCGTGTGGGTCATGGACTGAGGTAGACGTTTGTGGCCGATTACTCTAATCAGTACTGCATCATTTGATTATTTCTATACTTCTGTTTTAATACTCAGTTATCAAGTTTTTCTCGTCATTAGTATCAGGCTGCATAGCTCCTCGTCGTAGGAGCTGAAGCCATAGTAAGAAGAAGAAGAATCAGCTGTTAATTGCTGTGCTTGCACACATTATGGCTGACAAACGAACAAGAGCTCTGCTGCTAGTTTTATTTCTTTGGAGAAATCAAATTGAGTTTTTAAGTCACACGTATGTCCGAAATTTTTTAATCAATTTTATCTAAACTGTTTTATTTATTAGTTTGTTTGAGATTTTAATTTATACGTATTTTTTCGATAATTACTATTCTATTCTTATCGATCGGTTTTTACATTTCTGATCAGTATTTTTATTTTAAAATTAAATTTATTTTTAAAAACTTGTGTAGTTTTATTTCTGGATAACATTTAACTCATTCACGTCATGAAACATCCCAGCAAACACAAAATATAACAGCTGTATGACACAGAAGTAACATATAATATAACAGAGGTGACTCGGTATTTATATAAAAATTATATAACTTTACATTGTTTATACAATATGAACGAATTATCGTATTATTATATTGCTCAGTTATTTATATGGTATAACAGACGAACAATAATATAACTGTAATGTCGCGCGTTACATAACTGTTATGTTCAAATTGTATTTATATTATATAATTTGAATTACGCGGGAGTTACGCGATCTTTCTAACCTCGCGTAGCAACCGGCGCTACTTGCGTGCATATTTTCGGAACACGCCAAACGCGGTCTTTTCGACTCGTGACGGCGTGTGCTCCTGTGGGTACGTTCCGAAATTAGCTAAAAGTACTGGCGCTGCTGTTACTGATGTAACGTCCGCCGCCAGTACTACATCGCCGAACCTTTTTTCCAAACACGCTAGATGGCGCCACCCACCCTATTTCACGCTTTTATTGTCATATAATATGATTTACTTTAATGCTTTGGTTTTTTGCTTTAAAATAATTTTTATTCAAGGGGAAAAGCAAAGAAACCCTTATCTATATCGATATCCAACTTTATAATAAAACAAATATCTTAATTTTCACGATCATTATATACGCGATCGTAAGACAACTCCAATATTTTATTACTGAGTCGACAAGGCACACAGGGGATA